AATATTTACTCATTTTTAAAAATACTGTATTTCCACATGCAAGTGCTCCAGCACAAGGAATTAGTGATAAGTTAGCGGGGAAATTCCAAGGAGAAATAACACATACACAGCCATAAGGTTCACGTTCAATAAATGACTTTCCAAAGAGTTGGGCACAAACAGTTGGAACTTGTTTTCTTTTAAGATATTTGTTTAAGTTCTTCATTAAGAAATTAATTTCATGAATAACAGAATTTACTTCAGCAACACACATACCAACATCCCTATGAAGGTCTTCTCTGATAGCATTACTTATTGCTTGTTTATTATCAAGTACCATTCTATATAAACAATACAATACTGCCTTCCTAGCGTCCAAATGTCTTAATGCATTAGTAGAATATGACTCTTTAAGTGTTTTACAAATAATTTTAATGTCTTGGTATTTCGTTGGTTCTAAGGGTTGTTGGTTTTTAATTTGTTCTAATCTTTGATTAAATAATTTCTTTTCCTTAGAGTCACCAATAATATACTTTAAGGCATGAGAAATGAGGAGCAAAACACTCAAAATACTAACTCCAATGAATAAAATATTAAAAAGAACATCTGACAGTGAAAGCACATAAGCCTCCATGAATCTTAGTCTGAATGCTACAGTTCATAGAATCTTCCTTTTATTTGAAGTATTATGGTTTGTTCAAGCAAATTGTTCTTCCTCAAAACTACATTTTATCTCCTTATTTATCAAAAAAGTGAACCATCTCAGACAACTTTTCGTTTAGGTAATAAAGAATATAGTAGATTAATAGTTTAAAATATTAAAAAAAAAACCCAATATAAAAATAATGTTCAAAGTCTTTTAAAATGCCTTTTTAGGGTAAAATTGCTTTGAAATATTTTTCTTATTAAAAGTGATAAGTTTGGTTGTTTCAAAATTTTTAATAATTACAAAGTAACAAATAGTTTCTCATCCAAACCACAAATAGAAGTGTCTTAATAAAACGAATATTCTTCCTCAAAAACAAAAGTTATATTTTTTTGTTGTTATTTGGAAAAAATACTATTTGTATCAAAAGAATTTTCATATCCTAAACAAAAAGCTTTAATGAACTTAAATATGTATTTTCACATTTTTATTCTAGTTAAGTGTCTTTGTTTTTTTTTAATTCTAACATTAACATCATCCCTTTCAAGATAGAGTAATACACTTTAAAAGAGAGTCATAAAAATTATTATAATCTCATTATTTAATTAAACCTAAAAAGTTATTGTTTTCAATGTGTTTCAACATAATATTTGAAATAACATTGGTTTATTGTTCAAAGGAAAATTTATACTTTAGTTTTATTCACTTTTCTTATACAACTATAAAAATGAAGTATTTTTAATTATTGTTTTGTTCATTAAGATAAAATGACTTGGAAGAGGATATTATACTATAATTTTTTTGTGTATTGTCAATATTATCTAAAATTGTTTATTTTCATCTCTTAAGTATCAACACCTTACTTATTCTTTAATCTAAGTTAAGCTCATTTTCTTTTAAACTAAAAATTTTGTGAGTGTAAGAAGAATAAATTGTTAATTAATTAAACAATACAAAAATTCATAAGATATTGAAAGAGATAGTTGATAGAATAAAACCAAAGAATTAGAGTTTACAACATAACTAATAATGTTTGTAAGATAAATTTAATTTTTGAGAAGTAAAATATTATTATTTTCGTTATTATTTAAAAAATAAAATTGAGTTATTTAATTTTTGGATTGAACATATTGTCTATTAAGATTATATTATTTATTAAAAATTATAATTATCTTTGTTTTCAAATCTTTATTTGTTTGTGTATTGTTTATTTTCATTTTTAATAATAATTTATACAGTTTGTCTTTCATTACCTTATTTAAAAAATTCATTTTAAATAATCTTTAATATTCATTCAATTAATTCATTACTAATATTACTAACTCTTTTTTGATTGAAACTTTAAGATTTAGTTTTAACTTAGATATTTGTATCTGAGTTATTTTAATAAACAAACAATTCATTCTATTCATATTATTTCCTTATTTTCACATTTAAGAATAACCTCATATTTTCTCTTTATTTTTAAGTATTATAATTTCCATGATAATTTAATAAAATATCTCATATATGAAATTTCCTACTTATAATATTTCTTTAAAATTTATTTCGTTTCTAAGTTTCTTTTACTGAAATATTTCTTTACGTTTATACTCTATCAATGAATAAGCGTTTATCAAATTGTTTGATTAACTTTATGTTTTGATCATAAAATCTATAATTATTTATATCAATATTAAAGAAATAATATTATGATATAAGTTCTTAGTTAATATCTTATAATTGAAATCTTTTAACATTTTTAGTCAATATGGAGTTATGTTTATACCATAAATTTCCTTTCCATTTGAAATAATTATATCTACTTCAATTGATTTAATAAGATCTATTTTATTGTAATTTTCTTTAATGAAATGTTTTTCATAAATACACAATAATTTAAATCATAACATAATGTTATGACTTACACTTGATGCTTCAGTTTAGTTGATTTATTTTTCATACTACATATATTAAAATAATTTACTATCATCTACATTCTTTTAAAATAACATTAAATGAATGATTTATTATTAATTTTTCTAATATATTGACAAAAAAAAGAAATACATAAAACTGTTTTAATAAAAAAGACATACTTCTAAGTTTAAGATTTTATAGACTTTATATTTTAGAAGAATCAAAGCAAAATAATCTTATACTTTCTGTGGGTTTTTGAATTACAAACTAGTTAATTATTTTCATTATTATACAATATTTTCTAGCAGAAGTTTATTCAATTAATAATTAAACAAAGAATTTCAAAAATAGAAGTCACAAGAATTAAATAGACAATTGAATTATTATAAGAATATTTGAAAATAATTAGTGGTATTATTTATAACTAAAAGTATTGTTCTAAGAAAGAATTAAAAATAGAATTGAGTGAAAATTGAAAAAGAATTATTAACACAGAAAAAGAACACCAACAAGATTTAAATTATCAAATGACAAATATGATAAGATGACAATAACTTATTTGCAATAAGTAAAATCGTTGAAATAATCTTTAGAATCAACAACTTCTCCTTCATCAATTTTAGCTGTTTCATTAATAATATCTTCATTAAAATTAGAAGTATCAGTTTTATCTTTTAAAACAGGAACAAAAGGAGGAGATAATTTCTTTTTGAATAATCCTTCCCAATCAAATCCTTTAAACCAACAATGTGATTTAATACAATTTGGGTCTGTTAAACGTTTTTCTGGATCTTTAATTAATAATTCTTGAATACAACGTTTACAATCAGCAGTAGGATAAGAAACACTTGGAAAGAT